ATTTCTAATCAAATTGTGTGCTGCTTTTAGTCTGCCATCGTGTTCACGGAATTCTTTACAGCGAGCAGTTTTTATAAGTGTGCCACCCTAAATACAAATTTTTGTGTTGGTCAAAAAAATTTTTTAAAAAATTGGAATGAATTTTATTTTATTTATCCTTGGAACCTATTTAGAATTCAAATTTAAAATTTTCTTCGACTCACTAATACTCACTAATGCTAAATAACCTCTAACATCACCCCATCCAAATTTTTTTATTTTATCGCCGCCTTGAACCAAGCCTATATCATAATGGTTTTGTTACATAACCATAAATAATAAATAAAAATGCTCTTAAAATACATATATATAATACCTTGATAACCCTCGAAAATTGCGTATGGTTCACACCCGCGCGAAATAGCAACTCTTACAATCGATCTAACAGCAGCATTCATTCCAGGTGAATCACCACCGCTCGTCAATATCCCAATTCTTTTTTTCTTTTCGTTGATAGTATAGTCCATCTTAGATATATTTTTCCTCACTAGCTGATCCTATATAGCAGATCGACGTTTCATAAAAATCTGATGATAATTTATGTGTAACCTACGAATTTTACTTTATTAGGCGTAGCCTATATATGGCCGCAGAACTAAAAAAATACAATCGTTAAGATTGGTCATCAGAACTTACTGCAACTGACCCCGAAAAATTACATATCGGTAAAATCATTTTAGACTTGGTCTACATTTAGATTTTTTTGTGTATTGTCATATGTGAAAGAAAGGCAAAAGGGAACAATAACAAAAATTTTTTTCCAAATTTGAAAACAAAAAAACAATAAAATTTTTCTGTTATTATTTATATACTATTATAATATTAAATGACACCTATGTGTAACACAACACGGGAAAAACCCATAAATAAATTGATTATTAATTACCTTTTGTCAATTGTAAGTACTGTTAAATTTACAGTTATTATGTCAAAAAGAGACCATAATCCTAACAATTACCGAAATTTTGACAGAAATAGCCGTGGTAGCCGTGGTAGTCGTGGTAATAATAGGGGTGGCAGACATAACTATCAACAACGTTTTAGCGCGCCCATTTCACCGCGAGATGTTGAGAATAGACAAA